AGTTTATTCTTACAATTTGGAGGCTTTAAGTCCAAGTTCAAAGTGCCAAGCTCTAGGGGCTGGGTGAAAGCCCCTCAGCCTTGGGCTTCAGCTCTGCCTCCAGATCCTGGCCCACTGAAGCTAGAGGCTTTTCTTCACTCATACAGCTGCTGGCTGCTGAGACTGCCAAGCTCAAGGCTGACAAGTAAAAAGGCACAGTCCCGATGTTACCAAACCACATGGCAGGCCACTAATTCAAGTCCATTGTAAGTCCCCAGGTCAGCAGATCATGGCAGGCTGCTGAACAATGACACGGCTACACACAAGGTCCCAGCATGCCATAAGCTAGAGACCATTCCCCAAGGCTTCAGCTTAAATACAGGAAGTGACCATATTCCCTAAGGCAGCTATTCAGCTGCTTACAGTAGATTCCACCATGGAGTTGATTACCAGTCTCATCATGGGGAATACTACATCCAGCTGCCCAGTCGCTCAACCAGGCCCAGCCAAGTTGACACACAAACTTAACTACCATAAGCACCTTAGGCACTACACTACCAGAGCACCTTTAAATTCACTACATGTGCCAAACTGCTCTCCAAAGTGTGCCAGGTTTTACTCCTTCCTGTTATTCACAAGTTCTGCTTTCCCCCATTATAGCCAATGTTTATGGTATTATCAAATTTGATACATTCTGGTCAGATTCTTTGAGGTCCTGCAGTGGTGCAAGGAACCTAATTTAAATCTGTGTTATCTAAATTTTATAAAAGATTCTATGTAGGCATGGCTTTAGGCTTATGAACTGCCTGTTTCCATTGAGAGCACACTTCTCTCAATTACCTCAATTCTAATAACTTTATATTGAGTCTTTTTTAACTGACTGTATCTTCTAATACTGACATCAGGGGTGAGAAATCCAAGTGCCCTACTGGGGCCAGACAGGTAGTATACATAAGTAATCGGGCCAAGTTTGGACAATCTATTTCCAATCTATTTCCGTGTAAACCGCCTGAGAAACCCAAGGAAGGGTCACCATGAGCCAGGATCGACTTGATGGCACAGATCACCTCACCAGGCAAAGAAACAATAGGCAGTATTAGGGACTGTGATGAATAGAAGTGTACATAGGGGTCCAAACAGTGCAGCTGCTACTTAGTTCCATTCAATATTTGCCTTATGAGAATGAGTGCCCACAATGGCTTGGACATCTAAAGCTAAAATCTAGCTTCATACATAAAATCTTCAAAATGTATGATTTGGGCAACTAAAAAAATGCTGTGGGCCAAGCAAAATACCTTTGTAGGTGATAGGCCAACTGGCCCTACTCCATTCCCTCACCTAAATCATATGCATTTGATAAAGGCTATGTTTTCATTCCTTCTTTCCTTTTCCTGGATCAAGACTAGCTTGTTTTAGGGTTAGGCTGTTCTGTTTACTATCTCACAAAAGACAGTTCTATTTCATTGATCTAGCTCAGCTTTGATTAAATGACCATTGCTTATTGAGTACTTCAGAGTGAAAGTATTCATTCTTTTAAACTCAATAACCACAGAGCTAAATTACTTTATAACTTCCAGTTGGATATAAACACTAACATAGTGTTTAAGAGTGTAGATCAGCACTGTCCAATAGAAATCTGATGTGAGTCATAAATACAAGTCACATATGTTATTTAAAATTTTCTAGTATCCACATTTAAAGAAGTAAAAATAACCAGGTGAAACTAATTTTAATGGTATTTTATTTAACTTAATATATCCAAATCATTATTATTTAATGTGAAATAAATATAAATGGTTAATTTGATTTTGTTTTATTTTTATACTAAATTTTCAAAATCTGCTGTGTGTTTTGGATTTATAGCAAATATCCACTTGGACTAGCTACATTGCAAGTACTCAGTAGCCATTTAATCTCATCCATACTATTTAAACTCATCTTCCACATCAAGGTACTTAACTCACTGCCTCATCTGTAAGAGAGAAATCACAATAATACCTACTTCATGTGGTTGTTATGAAGATCAAAGCAGGAATATAGAAATTGATTCATAAATTTAGTGTTATTGTACCCATCATCATTCTTTTGGTAGATATAAATTGATATGCATATTAAAATGGATATAAATACAGATATATTTGGATAAAATTATGCCAGAGGCATTAACTTCAGTTAGATTCAACGCAACAAGCCCTTTATTTATGGTACAATGCTTTCTATATGATAATATATTATTATATAATAAAATAAGCAGACACATAAAATAAAATTATATATTAAATCAACAACAAAGACTGTATAGTAATGTAATGCATCTAATATATTGATATTCTTTATTGTAATAAAGGAGCTCTGGTAGCATAGTGCCTAAGGCACTTGACTGTTAATCAGAAGGCTGGCAGTTCAAACCCACCAGCCACTCCTCGGAAGGAAGATTGGGCAATCTACTTCCATAGTGATACTGCCCTGGAAACCCAAGGAAGGGTCACTATGAGTCGGGTCCAACTCGATGGCAAATAACAACAATAGCATATTGTAATAAATATGTTTCTATGTAATATGAATTATTAAATGTGTATGTTGTTGTTGTTATGTGCCGTCGAGTCAAACCCGACTCATAGCGACCCCTCCTTGGGTTTCCGAGGCAGTATCACTACGGAAGTAGGATTGCCCA